TTTCTCCAACGCTAGAACATTGTTCCTCTGCACAAAGTGAATTTCCCTTTCTATCAATTTTTTTGTAACTTTTTGACATGCTGTGTTGTCAGACGATGAATAGTCATGAGTCTAGGAAATTCATGCGTATTAAAGTTAGAAATAAATCCGACTCAACCACGCTCTACCTTTGTAAACAGTTTCCCAATCTGATTTGACACTGATCATTACCAAACGGCCTAAAAGCTCCAGTTTACAACACTCTAACAATCTTGCCACTTAGAATAGATAGTTGGACTGAAGTGTTTGATTTGTTTGTTAAATCTGGATGTAGAGAGGCAACTAAGGAATCGAGACTGCGCATTGTTATCGTTTCTTACACAAAATAAAAGATATCGTAAGTCCCTCTCAGTGTCTCGATATCGCGAAGGTGAGCGGTGACAAATTTCATTCAAAAGAAGAAGTTGAAAGGAAAAAATATATTATTACTTTCACGCTTTGCAGTGAGCACCAGATGTGGGAACAAAGTAATTATCACTCGACTCAAACTTTAGGGTAATTTCGGTAATCCGCATAAATGCAAAACAAATTTCAGAAAATTATAATTATATTGAGTTATTCAAAAATTTATTTTGGGTCTTTTAGTTCTAACATCTTCAACATAGGATTATTCTTCGGCTTGTTTAGATGTCCAAAAAACAGTCACTTGCTAATAATCTTGCTAAGATAGTAATCCTAAACAAGCAACGGCTAGGATTAAGCTGATACTAGAGAGTGCTTTTTTATCTTTTCAAAGTTGAAATTAATTAGAGCGGACCTCTAATACTGAGCTTAATTTTATCTTAGAACGCCTATGCGGTACCTTTATTAAAATTTTTAAGTTTTTAATTCGGCTTCCTCAGAGGAAAAAAAATTATTCAAACTAAGAGCTTAATCACCTTTTGAGTTAAAATCATTAATTTTAATAAATTGCTATTGCTTCATGGTCCCATTTCGTCGTCGCTAACAGAATATATATAAAGAGAGACTATAGAAAAATTGACTAAAGATGAAGGGAGATCATTAGAATACTACGGAGCCCTAGAGGGGGATCAGGTAAATGTTTAAATCCTCCGATCCCCCTCCACCCTGACGATGAATACTCACCCTTACCCCCTTCCACAATTTGCCGTCAATAACGCCAGCTGATATTAAAAACATTTACTCTCACGTTAAGTGTTAGTCAGCATTGTTGAAAGTTCTATAGAATTTTTAATCCTGTAATACTGATTCGAAAACCAATCGTTATAATTTAGAGAGTACAACGTATAAAAATATTAATCACTTTGTCGTTTCGTTGGAAAAAAGAAAATTTTCTGCAGTGGTCGTGTCAAAGAAGATCCTTTGTGTTCTAAAAACGAGTCTCCCTGAAGCAAAGGAAATCTTCCTTGATAATCACTAAAGGTGAGGTGAAGACTTAAATACGAATCAGACTAAGAAGCCGTAGAAATAATTATTACATTTCATACAAAGATCTACCGTAAAACTACCGCAAAAAAAATACTATTGTTTTTTCATTATTTGGTATACTCTCGACAATAAGAGTGTGTTTATTTCTCAACATTTTTTGGTCGAATCGTTTTCGATGCATGGGGAAAATGAACTAATATTTTCGTTTTTAATGACTCGTTGTTATGTTCTCTGAAATCTCAAATGCTTCGTTAATGACCGTATGGTGATTACGTAAAAAAAAGACTGCACAAGGCAGATAATCGTCGTTGCATCATTTTAAAGGGTCATTTTAAAGTCCAACCATTTTAAAGGGTGCAGATCTGTTTCTCTTTGAGACGGCTTGTTTAGGGAAAATGCTTTAGCACATATGTAATGTTTTATCATGGTGCAAATTTTATCTTTTTGTTGAAAGTGGCGATATACTCCAATAGTCTAACAGTCTTTTAGTTTTTAGTCTTTTAACACTGTAATAAAAGCTGGGTTAAGTTCTTCATGATCTTTTTGAGAGAACAGTGGAGATTTGAAATGCATCATAAGGCAGATAACTAGTCTGACAAAAAATATTAGTTGCGTACTGTAAAATAATCAGCGTTTCAGGTTGATAAGGTGATTAGCATCATGTGGCGGTGAAGTCAAACAGCGGCAAATTGATTGTCGCAAGACACAGGTGTCAAAATTCAGAGATAATATTGCTTTTTACGATGCCTAATATGGTGCATTATGGCACATTTCTGTTGTTTTAGGAATAGCAAAAGTTAACCGTTATGTGAAAGGACAAAAACACAAAGCATGTCTGAGAGCCTCGAACCGACAGCGGGGCAACCCGATGGATCAGAATCGCAAGCACCAAAGGTGGTTGCTGGGATCATCATAATTCTTGGACTGTTTAGTAACTCGTTAATTGTAGCTGCAGTAATAGGCTTCCGTCGCATGAAGACGACAACCAATTACCTTCTTGTCAACGTGGCCGCTGCAGACATAACCACTCTGTTGTTCACAGCGATGCACCTTATTCCAATCAAGGGTCCCTTCCCAAATGGTGCTCTTGGCAGCTTCCTTTGTAAGTTTATAAGAACTAACAATATCACTATGGTAACGCTTCTTGTGTCCACTCTGACGCTGACGGTTTTGGCTGCTGACAGATACCAAGCCATGGTGAAACCCTTAAAGATATCTTGGAGATTAAAAATCGAAAAGATCGGGTACGTCTTAGCAGTAATCTGGCTGATAGCCATGGCTTCTGTCTCGCCGCTTTTCGTGTCTGTGGACCAGCGCCCTAGCATAAACAATACTCTCTGCTCCCCCGGTGATGATCATGCGGCGATGAAAGTGTATATTTATTGCCTGGTGACCCTCCTTACCTTGATCCCGTTCCTTGGCATTGCTTTCTGTTATTCGCGGATTATATCCGGATTGTATTTTGGACAAACAATTTGCAGTCGGGGTAGCGAAGCAATGGCAGAAAAAAAGAGGCTTGTTATAGTTCTCATGGTGTTGACAGTCGTCTTTTTCATTGCGTTTGTTCCTTATGGAGTAGCGGTAGTATTGCAGTTCAGCGGGATGGCCACCAGAAATGTTGAAGAACTTCGTATCTTTAGTCGATTTAGGATTGCAGTGCAATATCTGACACTTTTAAACTGTTCTCTAAATCCGTTCATCTATGCCATTCCAAGTTCAAATTATAGATACTGCTTTAAATGTATGTTGAAGAAAATGTGTTGCCAAGGCATCACGGAAGAGGTTAATGCCATCCAGCTGGACACAAGACGGGGTGTGGCAGACGAACGCTAGCGCTTTGATGATCACGGAACATTTGAAAGGCGATCATGTTATTAAAGTATACCTCATTTATATCGTTTACCTTATCCGGTTCTTTTAACGCACGCAGATGAGTGAACTTATAGACCAACCAGTGGACAAGCCAATAAATTTAAGCTATTACTCGTTAAAGCTAACGTTAAATGCCATTTAACTAAGCAACCAAATGATGTCTCAGTAATGTATTGTAAAAACATATTTTAGTGAAAGCAGCATTGTAAAATGAATAAAGTACAATGAAGCCTGCTTAAAAAGATTCAAGCTATTCATCAAAATGAAAAAATCTCTTGTTGGCGTGCTCGGAATGCCTGGTTTCAGTAAATTTGTATTCAACTGATGCCCTTTTTTGCGTCATTTTGTGTATTTCCAAACATCTGGTAACTGATTTGTGACAGTGAGGGTAGAGATCTTCAACGTTCTTTCAGTAAACCTATCAAGAAAAAAATTTTCATTGTTATTAACTTTAGCTATGGTAACTTTAATTTTTTTAGGAGAAAATTGGCTTTTTTATGAGAAAATTTTATCCCTGACAAATTGCCTTCATCAAAATCTAGCTGTAAACAATACGAAGAGAATCTTTTCAGGGGAAAAATTGTTAAGGAAACTTATAAGTATATAAATGCGACTTTGAGCAAATAGTAAGTGGATGTATAATCTGGATTTGCTACGGCTTAATCCTCCAAAAATATTATTCAACAAGCTAATAATCCAGATGTGGTATCCATCTCTTAAGAGAGTTGTCCATGATAATGCCCCCTGGATTTAAACTTTAAGCTACGTCTGATATATTTTAACATCCCCTACAAGAGTGGTTAAGATCAATTGGATGAAACACACTCGGCCACAATATTCAATTTTCTCTGCCTATTTTTCTGTGATACTTATGTAAGCGTTTTTTTTTTGACATATCGAACGTCGGGCATCTTGAATGACAAAGAAACATTTACCTGCTCGATAAATACTTGGAATAGATATCATTTGATTTTTTATCTTACGTGAGGATTTTCTATTTCTATAGAGTATACTTGTTTTTCTTTTTTACTATAACTTTGAATTTGCATCATACGGTTGGATAGTGCCCTTGGCATTTTATTATGAGCACTATGCTTTTGTACTGATCAGAACCCAATCTATTCAATCCGGCTCCGTAAGTAACCAAAAATGAGTTTTTCCTCAAAATATCGACTCAGTTTCAACAAGAAAGGTGCATGATAAGAAAAAAGGAGGATATCAACGAGGGGATTTGTCAGAAGACAGTGTCAAGGTTTCGTGGTTATGTTTTAGCAAGGGCAAAATGTGATTGTCATGATCTGGGAGGGTTTTTTGATCGCATTTCGCATCCTCAGTAGTTTTCTTTATACATCGACCCCCGTTGCTTTCTTGAGGTGGGTATGGTTAAAATAAGTCTAACTTTGAAGTTCAGGAAGCTGTTAATTTCTTCTCTTATGGGACAATTGATTCGATGGATCTTGATTAAGAAATTCATAGGACTTTCCGTTTACTTAAAGTATTTTTAATAGATTTGAACAGCCCATTCAAAATGGAAATTGTGTATTTACAATCCACGCTGAGATCTTTACAAGGAAACCTATGATTTTACAGCCAAAAAATAGTAATGTATCTTAAGGCTTTCTCTGATTTCGGGTTAATTCGAGAAACATTATTGTAAATACTATCAGTAACAAATCTCTCTCAGTCGGAAGAAGACTGCTTCACACTTTAGTTGCGACTCTGCGAACAGATGTACGGGTACGCCTTTCGATCAGTTCAGAACGTTCCTCAGTCGTATCACGACCTAACATCTTCTTCAGGATGACCTTGAATGCCAGTCTATAATCAGAACTTTGAAATGCGTAGATAAAAGGGTTTATCGAGCAGTTCATTAAAGTAAGATACTTTGAACCAGTTTGGAGATACAAGAATGAGTGGTTCACTTTACTCACTTTTAAGATGAGCAGAACTCCATAAGGAATGAAAGCTACGAAAAACGCGACAGTAAGCAAGATCAGCAATGTCACTAGTTTTCTTTTTTCTCTCGTTTCCTCTCGTGTGTCACATCTTTCGCCTTTGCTTCCGCAAACTGTCTTCTTGAAATACATTCCATAAACGATCTGAGAGTAGAAGAATGCGATCAAAGAAAATGGGACTAATGTGAGAATGACAACCAAGCAATCAATGTAGACCATCATTTCATATTCTTCATCTCCGAGAGAACAAAGATAATCTTTTGGATCCCAATGGAAGGTAGATAGCAAAGGAATAACTAAGGCAACGGCAACCATCCAGATTCCAGTTATAACGTAAGCAATCCTGTCAATGGTCAGTCTGCCGGTTACTGAAAACGGTTTAACCAGAGCTTGGTATCTTTCGAAGGCCAAGATTGTTAACGTAAGGGCAGTTACCAGTAGCGTGATAATCGCGATACTATTAGTGAAGAAAAATTTACAGACAAAACTTGCAAATGCCCCAGAATGAGCAGCACTGTACCTCGTGGTTATCAAGAACAGGATTGCTGTAAAAAACAGCGTGGCAATGTCTGCAGCAGCTACGTTCACCAGAAGGTAGTTGGTGGTGGTTCTCATGTTGCGAAACATTTTCACAACAACAATAACCAACGAGTTTCCAATGACACCAACGGTTATGATCAGCCAAAAAGAAACTATTTTCACAGCCTCAACAATCTCCATTGAATGATTAGGCATAGCCGTAGGATGTGTGGAGCTTCCTGTTGTGTTGTTGTGGAAAGCCTCCATTAATTTTCTTTATTCCGAAACAAATCACTCCAATCAAATTTCTGTAGCTATGATAAAGAAGAAATTGAAACTCAGTTAGCATGAAAAACTAAACCCTCTCATGAGAAATTTCGATATACACGTTCCTAAAACCTTGGGCGAACGAGCTTTCTCGGAGAAATCTCGTCTCTCTTATTAATGCAAACATCTGCGCGAATCACAGCGCCTCTTTATCTAAAAAGATAAAATTAATGCATGTTCATTAGGGATAACAACAATGGTAAGTGATTGATCGATGATCAAAGCGCGGAAGTCAGTATCAACAGAAGTAGTTACTAATGAGTGTTATATATTTTGACGGGTGGTATCTCAGGTGCCTTTACCTATCTAAAACAGTAACACTTAGATTAACTTCTTCCTTTCATCAGTAAATGACAAGAATGATGATTGAGACGGGGACGCAAGATAATCCTAATTTGACTTGGGATTGAAAATGTTATGTTTACCTAATAAACAGTTAAAAAAAATCAACATGTATTGTCACTCTGTCAGTTTCCACGGGTCTTTTATCAACAGGATTCTTAGGCTTTCAATCTTTAAGTCAATCTATGAATCGTATGTTGATAGCATCATTTTGAACAAAGCCTAAAAAAACATTTTTTGTTTGGATGACAATTTGTTTTCGAAAGGTATTGCGTTCGATTTCCATGCAATGCACTATTGCTACCATTCCTAATAAAATGTGTTCATGCATCCTTTCCGAGGGGCTAAATGTGTTTTTCCTCGAGGAAAACTTTGGCATTGTAACCTGAGATCATCATTAAAGATAGAAACGGCTGTGATGTCTACTCGTTAAATATTTGTTTTTACTGTGAAGCGCAAACCGTTTTCAAGTAACCAAATGTCACTTTTTTTTGACAGCGGTCGATGTTGAATTTTTAGTGTTCACTTAAAAGGCCTTGGCAACAGGAAAGTTTGTCTCTTCTTCTGTTGAAAAAAAAAAACACTCTCTTATCTTGAGATACATTTTCAACATAGACCTTAATCACTTCGATCTGGAAATTGGTCCGAAGGGTCACCTAGGGAATATTCCCCAGTAATTTCCCGCTGTTTCCTTATCCTTTGGGCTATCAGCGTTATACATGTAGCAGATTTCCGATGGATAGCAAATCGTGAAAATCTTATTTTGCAAAAATTTTTTTTTGCGTCTAGTGTCGGCTCTTCCTTCATTTGGTGTTTTTAAAAGCAAGAACGGCGTTATTAATAGTTAAAACTGAAAACACCGCAATTGTTTTATCAGCTTTTGCTCTTTTACAAGGATGATGGCAGATTGGAAAAAGCATTCATGTTCACCTTTCAAGACATTTTCGAACATCCTGCGCTTTTTCTGATATATCGTATGTGAGTTATGTTTTCGAAAACGAGAAGTGAATCCGAACGCGGAAATTTGATAAAGTTAACAATATCATGAACAGAGGGGGGAATGAATAATAAAATCTAGTTTTTCCCGATTGTTACATGAGAGGGTCAATAATCATAGGTAATGCTCAGGCAGCACATGATCTTTGCCAGTTAATAACCCACTTTCTAAATCGTCTAGGGCGACTAAGAGAGGAATTAAGATGGTAAACAGTTCCGCGTAAAACTGTTCTCTTGGTCACCTGCAACTGATTTTTAGCCTTTCCTTAGTATAACCCTCGTCAAAGTGTTACATGGTGTTTAATTAAGGAAATGAGGGATAGAAATGGCCCACAAATCTAGCTGAATTTAGCGCAGTGATCCACCCAAAAAGCATAACTTTTAAAAGACCTTCTGGTTGAAATTTTGCCTGTAGGATAGCTGTTTTATCAACACTTTCGAGAGAAAAGCAAAGCGTGATACGAAACAAATTTACAAGCAGGAATTAAAAAAGCTGAACTGACTGGAAAGTGATAATTTAAAAAATAAAATTATCAGATTCAGTACCTTATAAGTAACTTAAATCTACCTGAACCAAAGTTACAGGAATGAGTAAGAAATTTGGTTTTAGAAAGAAATTTCATCTACCTTTTCGTGGTGATAAAGACACACGAAAACTGCACAATACATAACTGTTACCGAGCCTTAAAGATGAACATGGCTCAACCAAAATGGACAGTAATGTTTATTTTAACCCTTTAACCTCTCAGAGTTAATAGCATCTAATTTCTCCTTACAATATCACCACTGAATCACATATTAATGTAATGAGAATAAAGGAAATTATCACCAGCTAAAGAAACTCTTGCTTGTTCGACAAATTCTCCTTTTCAGCTCCACAGTAAATGTACAGAGATCAGTATGGTGAACATTAATACTGATGTTAGGACGTAAAGGGTTAAAGAGGCGATCAAGTTACCTTTTAATGCGTTAACCGAAAATTGTGGATCCGGTTCAGAATTTCGAGCTTCGATTATCTGACAGCTTGAAGAATTTTGAAAGGAATTGAAGTAATTGAAATCTTCGAAGTGTTTCAATATTTAACCAGCGATACTTCTCGTTGAGCTAAACGTCAACACCAACCTTCGTGTAAAAGCGTAAAAACAAACAAACTAAGCTGTCAAATTTGAGGTTTTCGCGGTACAGAGAGCATTAAGCATAATTATAATGGCTGAAGATAGAACGCAATGGTCAATTTCACCCTTCGTTTCGAGAGATAAACTGATCGATGAACGAATCAAAAGTTTCAGCCTAAAAGAAAAATAAAATTTTTAAAGGTATACAAAAAAATTGAAAAATTAATTATAATACTACAGAGATAATTTGGACTACTGAAAAATATATTCAGTCAGAAGCTCTCTACGCAAATTCTACCTGTTCATCGATTGGGAAGCACGGCTTCCTGATTCGGCTTTTAAAAAAAAAAATGTAGTTACAAATATTAACATTAAAAAGGTTTGCGTTTAAATCTTAGTGTTGAATAATTTAAATTGCAAATTACGATGATGAATAGTTTCTAAAGCTGACCTTTGGAGCGATAGCCCCTTGTCATTCGCTATGACAAAGGGCTAACGCTCAAGACGTCATCTTAATAAACCCTTAACGGTGGCCAATTTTCATTATTCACTCAGTTGATCAAACCAAATTATCCTTTAACAGCCCCGCCTACGCAGCACCAGTTTCTTAGAAACTTACTATCCCTTATTAATTTTGTGATAAAAATGGTTGATCCTCTCTTCGTAACAGGTAATTTAGTGTTAACAACTGAGTTGAAAACGTACCAATTTAGTAAACTGGTCACCGTAAAGAGTTTGAAGGCTGACGTTTCTAGCGTCAGCCCTTCGTATATCGCTCTACCGAAGGGCTAACGCTCGCAACGTCAGCCTTCAAACTCCTAACGGTGGCCAATTTTCAACTCGGTTGTTAACACTAAATTACCTGTTATACTCTCCCACCGACGCAGCACCACAGTTTCTCTAGAAACTTACCCCCCTTATTCATTCCTCTCTTCGTAAGTTTTAAAGGTTTAAAAGTTTGAAAGTCAAACATTCTTGTTAAAACCAGCATTTTAAAAGCCGCTTGGAGAATTACAAAGCTGAGTAGACATGGTGCTGATTGGAAGTGACACATGTACACGTCAGGATTGATTTGCATGTAGTGAGTTGATCTCTGATCTTATGGCAAACTAGACAGTATTTATCAAGGCATTATTTATTAAGCTGGGGGGAGAGGAAGCGTGGAGATTTTGGGTGGAGGATCAAATGGTTTTCAGTGGGAAAGGAGGGGATTCAGTCGTCGCCAATATAGTATAAAGGAGGGACTAGTGCCAATAACAAGGGAGGGGGGAGAGGGTAATATTAATAATACAGAGCGAGCCTTATGGAAGGATCATGCAGGTAAATTTTTATTGTGACAGAACCAAGTCCTCCCCCCCTTCTTGTTGCAGATCTTATTCTTCTTCTGTCATGGACTAAGTTCCCTTTGGATGTTAGCGCTTAAGGCCGGTTGAAGCAAGTTTGACTCTAACTTGTTTAGAGAAACAAAATTAAATCCGGCACACTCTTTAACCACCATCGTTAGTAAGAAATCGCAACATGGGGTAAACAGAGGGCAGAATGAAACATGAAGTGATATCTCACGCAATTTTGTCTTTTTGTATTTACTCAGGATCATCAATACTCAGCAAAGAATTGAAATAAAAATGGATTACAACAATGTTCCTCATAAATTTACTTCAAAGATTTCAGCTAAATTGAAAGAAATGAAACTGATATTATTACGTGCACAAAGTAAGGACATGCTTTGGACAAAGGAATATGCCTGCTTTGAATCATTTAGTGTCAAGAATAGAAATTAACATAAGTAACTCGGAGGAAAGAAAGCAAAAAAGAAAAACTGAATTTGACATGCTCGCTATTTTAAGTTATGATTAATAAATAGCTGTTTTACAGCTAAACCAATTGTACATTATTGAGATAATAGAAATTCGCCATTCGATATTTTATTTAAGTACGAAAGAACACTTACGGAATTATGAAGAATGTATTTCTTTATGATTCTTGTTTATTGCTCTATACGCTATTCATTCAGCTTGACGAGTCGCTTATAAGCTGATTATCCATAGATTTATCTGCGGCCTGCTCTTATAATGAATTATGCATGTGTGTATACTCTTGGAATATTCTATGAAGGTAGATACTACTCCACCAGTATAGAATATTCACGTTTTTATGCACTATGCTTACGAATTTGAAGTCAAGATAGACTCCCTATGGCAAAAATAAGACCGAGTAACTGTTTCGATAAATTTGTTATGTAAACAACGAGAATTAACGAAAGCATATCGTCCACTAAACGTGATCGCTGCTGGACGATTTGTGGGAAAACGCGGTAAAGATAAGATTTACGTAAGCTTTTAGGTAAACTATGATTAGGAGCGGAATAACTTACCTGGGGCTTGAGAATTACGTCGCCAAAAGGTGAAAACAGTATTCAACAATATACAGAGGGTATCCAAGAGTAAAATTTTTTACCGGGCCGGATAAGTGTTCTCTTAGCCACGCAAAACTTTCTGACGTGTGATTGGGCAGAGGGCTTCATCTTTTGACATGCAAGCTTGCGGGCTCCTGTAGCATTCAAAATGATATGTCAACGCAGGGTGAGAGAAAACAATAAAGTTGAAAACCAAGAAATTACCTCGTGGCTAAGCATTACAAGGAAATCATTATTCGAAGTTAAAAATTGAATGTAGAATTAAAAGATACTTTTCTGACGAAACAATTTCGTTATGATGTGCAGGAGGAAAGATCTGTATCTTGAGGCAGTAACAATAAAAAATAAAACAAGTGAGTTTACAAACGGTATTATTTGCAGAGTATGTTATGGTAATTCTCAGGTAATAAAAATTGAATGACAATTCCATAAAGTGCTTGATTCATGTCAGTTACAAACTTTATAATAAAGATGCATGAAAGTAATGAGAGCATTGATGTCAAAAGAAAATTTGCCAAATTAAACTATAGACTCCAACTTCTCTATCACTGTTATGGCGCTTTCCTTTTTTACGCTTTTTTTCGTTTAAGAATGTTGGCATATGTTTTTTTAACCCTCGTGCGGAATGTGTCAGTACAAAAATGTAGTATTTAAAATCAAGGTGAATCTTTTGATCGAAGTAGCTTCTCGATTAGTTCGTTTCGCTGGCTGGAGACAGCCGTTCTTTCTTGCAAATCGCACTTCAAAATCGCATCGAGTGCAGCCTAAAGTAAACACGGCAAAAATGTAAGTGTCATTCTTTCAGTTCACTCTTTTCTTTTATCTAGTTATATTTTAAAGTTTTGTGCTTTGTAACTTTCTAATTTAGTTTTAACCAACCTTGAAATATTTAACCGTAAAACGAAGTAGACGCCAGGGCAGAATATTACATAAAGCGCGTTAAAACTTCCTTTCTTTACGGGGAGAACAACAAAAATATCAACTGAGAGCTTTCGCATTAGTAAAGCGTTTAATTTATTGTTCCGTGTTTATTTTGTAAGTAGAGATTTGACAGTAAAAGAGTCAGAAAGAGGAACCTTAGTCCTTGTTTAGAAAGCTGACTCAGTTTCAACATATTTTTCTTTTATCTCAACACTTGTTGACACCAATGTTATTACGTATAGATTTTAAATGCATGTAGCAAAAGCTACAGTCAGTTCTATAGTGACAAGATTGTCTCTCAGAGTCATAGATTCGCGTTTCAGTTAACTTTTGTGTTTGTACGATGATAGGCAATAGCATACATTAACTTGTGCGGTAGGAAAATTAAAACGGCCTTCGTGTAACGAGCATTGAATGAATAATTTCTTATACCTTGGAACCCGTTGGCAAGATTTGACCAGATCATGGAAAGAAGTTATCTCTCAATAGATTAAAATCTTTATTTTGTCTTACACTCTTTCACTTATATATTTATACTATTCCCCTTCACACGCGTCTTTTTGAAAACTTCTGCCTTCTCTTTAGTTTTTTTTTGTCATGAAAACACCTGTTAGACATGAGTATATTGTTCTTTAGTTGATTAAGTATTACCCATACCCTTTTGTTTGATTAATTTACATGCACCTATTTAAAGCTGAAATTTATTTAAGGTTTTGGCAAGCTGGACAAGGCCGGAGTCGTTAGATAATATCATCAAAATGACTTGATAACAATAACCTAAGGCATTATTAGATGTCACGCACATTTAAAGCCATCTCATGTTTAAAGAAGCAAGATCTTCATTTGCTATGGTATACCCTCAAGGTTGCCAATACTGATCGGAAGGTTTTCCAAAAACCTACACAGGACGAAATTGCAAGAATCCGTAAACGGAAACATGGCGGTTGTATACGCAGCAACGGAAACGCGAGAAAACGTCACGAAACCGGTAACGGAAACACAGGTTATCCGTCGTGTTTCCGGAACGGTTTAACATATTTCTGCCACGTTTCCGTTTACGGATTCTTGCAATTTCGTCCTGTGCTACTTTCAGGCTGGTAAACACCTATATCTTCGGGGATCTACGCAGGACGACAGAAGTAGGTAAGTTTGAATATTTGTAAACATGAATCAGAGAGGACTAATAGTTTCATAAAAATAATTCTACATGTACAGCGAATGTTGAGCAGTTGACCATCAAGAGATCGAAGGCATTAAGAAGATCATCAGCGCTGTCATCATCCGGGAAAAAAAAAGTTTGGTTACTGCGGTAAGTAGGCGTTTTCTTTTGTAAAGAGAATGCCATTCATACAAAAAGACAAATGCATCCATACGGACGCATCTGTAAGATGGAGATTTAAAAATTTTCAGGAGTTGTCTGATCTACATCCTCGCGATTTTCTTCTATTTTCTTTGGCTACATCCCGCGTAATGGCAAGAATACTCGTTTTCAATATTCGGTTCCTTTGTGCGCAGATGACTACATCACTTCCTGATGACTTGAAATACATGCTTCTATGGAAAACAGTTCATTCGCGCACAACGTTTCAAATAAATATTTTTCGCGAGATAAAGTTTCTTAGGGCTTTGTGTAGAGTTTCACAAGCTGCCCCTTATATCCACCTGCACACCTCAACACATGAAATTAAAGCGAAAAAAAAAAAAGTACGTAGCAAGTTACTGTTGAAAATTTAAATATCCAAAAATCTTTTTCAAATCATTGCAGAATAATACTTGCATAATATGAAACTGCTGATAATTTCTTGAATTTGTATCGTTCGTGAGCTTTATATGAAGCATGAACTCTATTTTGATAGAGGTATCCGTCAGTATTTTTCACCTAAGGAGGGAGGGGTGGGGCGAAGGATCTTGTTTGGGGAGTTACAAGGTTTTCAGGAAACGGAGCAGGAATCAGTTGTCGCTAACGGAGTTTACATGTAAATGGGCGACTAAAGAAAATTGACTCCTTATTTGGGGGATGATTACAATACTACAGAGCCTTATCGGGGAATCAGGTAGAGTTTGTGAACACCCAGAGGCATGATATAAAATGACTCACAGTTCATCCTTTTCGTGATAACGAGTAACGCGGACACAGGATATCATTTATATTTTCCTCGGTCAACGTAAGCACAAATTAATGATGGATAGGAAACTACTTAGTCATTAAAGCCAGTTAATGGAAATTTTCCTCCTCTTCCCAAGTCTCTTATAACCGTAATTATGTGGACAAATTATTTGATAAAAATCGGCAATGATCTCCAAAATTTCTCTTAGGGCGTACATTTGTATCCTACTGTTGTCTCGTTGCTGTGACGATGACAAAAGAAAATCGAAGGCTTTTTTTTATCGCAACCCGAAATCTAAGTAATCCTAACAGCCAGTAGGAACAAAAGAGTACCTGATTCTAAAGGAGTCCACGGTAACCATGGAGGATCAGAGAGAAATCACATTACTTTCAACCATCTATTGTGAAAAAAAGCCTGTATACGTTTGGAAATTATATGCATAGGGTTTTGTCATGATATTGCCCAGGATCTGACCAGCGGTCATCATATCACTAGTCCCTGGGCCACTGCATACAAAAATAAGCATTAATCATTATTCACTTGTGATGTGACTTAGTTGAGTTCCTCTTGCTTCGCAATAACGTGTGTGTGTCATTACAATCTACGCCTCCTGTTTTAGATCTAGAACAGAATTAATCCATATATATTGTGGAAAAGCGAAAGATTGATTTTTGGGTTATGATAATGTCGCAAATATGAAACTACAACACAAAACCTTTCCAGTAGGAAATAGTGCGGACGTCCATGGAAAAAACCCAATCTAGAGCCAACACATTCCGTTCTACGCCCTGTTTTTCCCTCTCCGTCGCCTTATTTTCTCTTGTTGTCATTTGTAACATTTGAGTAGAGCATCTTTAATTTGATTGTTGTGAGCTTCTCCAAAGTTACCAAAATCAGATGAAGGGGCAAAGCCACGAACAAAAACCATTAAAATCAAATTGTAAAGTTTTGACTGCTTGACTGGCTGTCGAGATCGACTTGTAGGAATATCTTCCACAGAATGGGCAATGACTGGGCAAGGAAACCATTTAATGCGACGGTCATTGCTCCCGGCTCGAAGTCGAGATCTTGTTTTCACGGCCGCTATCAACAGCACGTTAAGCATGCGTTAAACTGAGAAGGGACAAGCAACGCTTTTAATGGTGACATTGTTGATATAACTAACCTCCGGTGGGAAAAAATGAAGGCCTTATGAAGAGAGATTGAACCTTTAGATCAGCGCGTTGAATCTTAGCAGTTTTTTTCTTCGGCTTTGATTGACCAGCTCAACTCTAATATGCATGCATTTCCACTTTTCATTTTTCGCGTAATTCTCGAGTTTCTCCTAACGTAACAATCGAATGAAAGAGAATCCTAACAAATGTGCGAGACATTAGAAAACAATCGAATGAAAGAGAACCCTAAAAATGTGCAGGATGTTAACGTAACAATCCAGCGAAGGAGGATCCTGAAGGAATGCCAGATACAAATATAGCAATCCAATGAAAGAGAATCGTAAAAGTGCACAAGATACTAACGCAATATTTATTATTCATTTCAAAAAACAAGAAAAATTCAATCTTAATTTTAAACCACAACAATATATGTTCCTAACAAACGTCAACCGTCAGAGAACCTAAAATTTAAAAGGCGTAACAAAGAAATCGGCAACTGACTATATCGAAAGAATATCAACTGTCAACCGTCAAAGTGAGCCACCCCCCCCTCCCCATTAAACAATTGATCTTTGATTTGAATTGCGCCAGAGCGAGAACAGTTCCTACAACGAGAGGCGTTCTAGCCTGATAGCAGATCACATGTGATATTTGCGGATAAACAAAACTAACAAACAAACTTCGATAATTCTTACATTTCATTGAGAGCTGAGACAATTCATCACACGCTTCGAACAGACGTGCGCGTGCGCATTTCAAGGAGTTCTGACAGTTCATAGCTAACATCACGACACAGCATTTTCTTGATAATGAGCTTAAAGGCTCGTCTATAACTCGAGCTTTGAAAAGCATAGATAAAAGGATTTATCGAACAATTTAAAAGTGTAAGGTATTGCGAACCTATCTGAAGATGCCCATATGTGTGGTTCACTTTACTCACTTTCAAGATGAGCAATATTCCATACGGAATAAAAGCTATAAAAAACACTACAGTAAGCAAAATCAGCAGCGTAACCAATCTTCTTTTTTCATTCGTTTCTTCCTGCGTGTCGCATCTTTCACTATTTCTTCCAAAAACTGTGTTATTGAAGTACATGCCATAGACGATCCGTAAATAACAAAATGATATCACAGCAAATGGAATCAATGTGAGGAAGATGATAAGGCAATCAACATAGATCATCATTGTATGCTCTGCTTTACCATGAGAACAATAACGCATTTCTGAATCCCAATCGAAAGTTGCAAAGATAGGAGTTACTAACGTTATAGCAAGCAACCAGATTCCAGCTATTACGTAGCTAATGTAGTCCATGCTTAGTCTTCCAGACAGTGACATGGGTTTCACTAGAGCGTGGTATCGTTCAATAGCCAGCATTGTTAGCGTCAAGGCAGTTACAAGAAGCGTGACAATCGAAACAGTGTTGGTTAAGATAAATTTGCAAAGAAATGCTGCTAGTACTCTAGAACGAATTGGGATATTTGTAGTCAAGATTAAAAATAAGATTGCCGTAAAAAGCAGAGTGGTGATGTCTGCCACAGCCACGTTGACCAGGAGGTAGTTGGTGGTTGTTCGCATGCTGCGTATTGTCTTCACGACGACAATGACCAGAGAGTTGCCCAAAATACCAACGGTGACGATCAGCCAGAACGCTATGGTCGCTATCAATCGCCTGATCTCTGCTTCCTGGTTAAAGCGATCAGGCTCTTCTGTTGCTATCGTTATGTTAGTAGCAGAGCTGTTGTTCCTCAAGGTACCCATTTTTAGAACTTTAAGAGGAGCTGTCGACTCGGCAAGGTGACAGAGAAAAACTGAGTGCGATCGGGTCTGCGAAGTCAATTCTGCTTAAAGTTACAAAGGAGTAGAGATATTAATACCCATTCTTATGTTTATTCCCACTGTCGTGTTTACAATTCATGACGGTGAACGAAACAACTTAGCTCTTCAATTTGCTTCGCTCGGCATCAAATTGTGGTTTCGTGGCAAATTTGATGGAAGCGCTTAGCCAGTATTTAGGAGGCTATAGTTAAAGCCTGAATTCCTTTTCGGGTTTTTTAAATTTAGAATGAATCTAACAGCTAACTTTACGTGAGTATCAGTTCATCACAAATTAAGGACCGGACAGTTAATTATCACGGAGCAAGGGAGGGGGGGTAGAAAGATTTTGGTGGTGTCGTAATGAAATTTGCTTGATCCCTGATCCCCCCACTACAGCTCTGTAGTGCTCTAATGATTCTCCTCATCGGCAGTCAATCCTCTATGGTCCTCTCTTTATACTCTGTTACCGACGACTGATCCCCCCCTCTCCGTTCGCCCTGAAAATTATGTGATCCCAAAAAATTCTTCCAAATACCCCCCCACCCCTCCCGGGAGATAAATAAAGACTGGTCCCTCAGGTGCTCTCTCAGAAAGAAACAGAAAGAACTGTGCAGGAGTGTTTTATAGTGCGTAGTCAAGCGTGCGAAAGTTTTCGTGGTTTGTGAAATTTTCCATCGTTTTGCATGTGATAGCTTAGTGCCTCAAAAGAACGCTATAGGAGCATAAAGCATAAATCTTATGAAACACCAGAATGACTTCTTTTCCTAGTGTGTGAAAGCCATGGTCAATATCCCCACCCCATGAATTGTTTTAAAAACTTCAGTCACTTAAGAATGAAATGCAATCAATTTGACTCCCTTTATCTATCGCGACTTGTGATAGAATACAAAATGTCGTCAATCAGAGGTTTAATTGGAAATGAAATAAAATGATATTTAATGAGAATGGATTGGATGTCATTTTGATAGCTCTAAATGCTAGGAATTATTCAGCGAACAAATATATAATTTTGAATACAAAAGTCATTTTGTATAAGCATTGAACAGAATAGAAACGAATTCAATAAATTACTAGTATCTATTATTTTACGTTTTTACAACAGTGTGAAACATTTATATGTCATTTATGTTTTGCTCCTATCTCGACATTCGATGGCTTCCTTTTGGCTTTGAAATATTTTTCAGCACACCTACAAAAAACATCTGCCTTCGGAAGACACCTTATGAGATGGTGTCATGTACTTTGTGATTATTTACCCCGTTCTTCAATTATTTCTCACAGCTAGTAATGTAAAAAGGTTCTCTGATTAGAAACGGTTTCATTTACAATTAAGAAAACATCAGCAGACGTCTTTTAAAGTAAAAACAAACAACAAACCTTGCCTGTCCAAGAAACCTAAAGTATTATGACATGAGATTCTATTAAATTCAGAATTGCGAGATATAATATATCTAACGTCTTAGTCATCAATCAACCTTTAATGTACTGTATAGGTTTTCACTTCCTTTACCTACAATTATTTCAAATACTGGCCATCGATGGATAAAACCTCATCATCATAATGCAATTTCGATGACAGTTCACTTTTTTTTCGGCCACTTTGCTCGACACATTTTTCGTATTTTTTTTCCACAATATCTTCATATAATTGTTATCGAAGGATCTCTTTGTCTGTTTTATGGCGCAGACAAGAGAGGGTATCATCTCTTGGCATGGACTATATCTTCGAGATTGAAAAAGATTTTTGCAGAACAAATTTTTCCAGAAACACCTTGCCACTTCTTGAAAGCTTAGCTTGTTATTTGAAATGCGTGAATAATCATTACTTTTTTTCTCGCTCATACTAATGATCAGGTGCTTTCTGCTTCTTGTAGACTATGGTAATGTGGTAAGGTCGGTAAAAGACTCTTGCACTGCTATATTCTTGCATTCCCCCGAAAAAATGTCCCAATCGCAAGTTATGTTCGCTTTCTCACAAATACAAAAGTCCAACAGTAAGCCTCTTTCATCTCCTTTCCAGGCGATGCGACAGGATGGCAGATGTTTTCAAGTGAGTGATGGTTAATTGTCGGTAGCTTCTGCTTGCTCTTCTTAAAAGTTTTCATTGAACTTTATTAAAAAACGTCCGAGACAAGCAGTTTATCAAGTCTTAATACGTTAATCAGTTAAGTTGCATAAATCTCACTTCGATGATGCTGATTTTGACAACCATGTCTTTTCTGAATCTTGATTCTGTCTTACATATTTGTCCACACAATTGATTGTCAGTGTAATAATCTAACCTTGGACAATCATATTTCTAACCACATAAAGCGCAAACACTTCCTAACCAATACAAAATGTATGAACATTTGATTTGGACTTCACAGCTCCCTAATGGAAGGACACGGTGCAATCACAGTGTGTACTGCGATAATGCAAAGGTGTCACTCCTTCTAAATGTAATGTTTGGGAAATAGTTTACGAATGTTTTGTCTGTAGTTTTTACTTAGTAGAAAATGATTTAGACTGTCTCTTCCTTTGATTTTTAATTCTTTTATTCCATGTATATCGGCTAAACACGCGCATCCACTTTAAAAGGCAATGAGCCCATTTTTGAAAAAAAAAAAAGAGCATGCAGTGCATGTATCATAGGGGAAAAACAAAAGCCGAGTGCCTCTCGGTTTGTTGCGTTGAGATTACATAAGATTTGCACTTGAAATAACATAAAGATTTGCTTTAATTTTAAGAGAGCACCTGAACTGAAATAAGTATGGAATAAACTGAAATAAATGTTACTTACAAGCAGGGTTGGAGGTCTAACAAGACAATTCGGCTAGCTGCGGTACTTTCTTAGAAAAGATCCGGTTAAAAATGATTTATAGTTTGATAAAAATGATTTATAGCTTCTGATAAATCACCGATATTGTTTTCAACCAATTATTATCAATGCGTCAACGTTTCCTAGCAATCGAAAATACATCTTTTTAGAACAGATGCACAATATGTTTTAGACAGGTAACAAGTATGTCCAATTGAAAAGAAACCTTTCATAATTTAAACTGATGACTCAGAAAATAACAGACTTTTAAAATCGTTCTTCATCTGAGAGAGTCCTGAAAGAATAATAGTGATTATGAAAAACATCATTGATAAGCAACTAGCAGAAGACGTAAAGGCGAGATGTTAGGAAAAAAAAAAACAATTTTACGCCAGGATGCAAAGTGACATACCCATCAGTTGGCTGTCGTCGTAGGTTGACGCCGGACGTAATGTTTCAAATTTCCTTTTAATTCTGGCAAGCTCTGTCTCTCAAGAACATTAAAGAAACGGTCTTTGATGAAAGGGTATATCCTTAAATGATATCATTTTCCAAAGTTGATTGTAGGTGGAGCGTCAGAGGGGATATTTGCCAGTCCATGATCCAAGATATCAAGGTAAACATTATTACTCAGATTTCTTTTAACATGTCTAGCTTTTTCTATCATTTGAGAGAAGGAAAGTAGAGAAGACGTAAGATCAAATTATTTCTTTACACTAAAGATCTTTTTCTCTGTTCTTGTTTGAAATATAATATTGAATAAATAGTGTACATTGATTTCGTTCATTGCAAGGAAAAACTGTATATCATAGTTCGCCTGCATTACCTTCCGGCCTTGGCAAAAAATATGGCATTACAAAGTACTTAAAAATGCTTTGGAAATAGCCTCAAGCAAGACCACAAGGCTTAATTAGGTTTTGCTCCATTTGTAAGATATAGTAATGTAGGATAAAGTCGTAAAATTGGGCTACGTCGTCTATTGGTTGATTTGCTATGAATTTCAGCATGCAGAGTGGTATAGCCAGGTGATGCGAAGGTTGTTAATTTATCTAGGAAGCTCATGTCGTGCAATGCTACGTGAACTGTCCACATTGTCAGGTCAATTTTCCAAATGTAAACAAAGATATCTTTCTTGTGATTGTTTGAAAGGCGCGACTAAGTAGACCTCTTTAGTAATATGGACAATGTTGCCCTGAAAATACACAAGCATACTACCAAAGCCTGCGGATTTTTTTACTTCTTACAGTAGACGAATAATTAAATTATACTTTACTTGTACAAAATGAAAAGGCAAGGGCCAGCTCTGATAAAACACTTAGATTTAACAGAAAATTTAATACTCTTTAAACCATTTGTCCCCTATGAGTGCCCAGCATCTAATTTCTCCTCAAAATATCGCCCCTGAAACAAACATTAAGGTCACAGAATAAAGGAAATAATCACCACTTAAGGGACTGGTAATTATTTACGTAGAGGAGTGGGGGAGGGGGGGAAAGGGACCAAAGAAGGGGGGTTCAAGGCTATTGGCGAGAGGGGGGGCTATTTAACTTCGTATCAAGAAGTTTGGGGGGGGTCAGCAGTTCAATGTACATTTTAAGAGTGTTCCATTGCTCAAGGTGGGTAAAAGAGTGAGAACAATATAGTGAAGAGGTGATGCTAAATTGTACAATTTTGTGTTAATTCTATTGTTTTTTTTTGTTTAAACACCACTATTTTGTAAAACTTAGATATTTTTAATGATCTCAAATATAAAAAAAATCATATATTGTGTGATTTTTATTTCACAGAAATACTGGTTACACTAAAAACCTTATTATTATCTCAAATTCTAGTTAATATCGAATTCAGACCCATCTGCTTTAATATGCGGTTTGACTGAATTTACTTCTAACAAAATGCTTGTCCTTTCAATAACCCAAGAAGTGATTAAACATGATAACAAAGAAAGTAGGCCTTTCACAACTGTAGGAATATCATCGGAAAATACATCTTTTTGCATTGTTATCATATTTTTGCTCAACATAAAGACATAGTTTGTAAAAAATTTAACACTTTTCCGAGGTCAAGAAATATTTTCATATATTTGACAAAACATCACTTTCAGTATGTGACTGGTTGCAAACTCACGAAAAATTCGAACCGA